AAGTTAAAAAAAAAACATCTCCGCCGACCTACCCAGATTTTTGTTTTTTCATTTCTTCCTGAAAACACGCAGGTAACTTTTGTAGTACATGTAGTTTCGAAGTTGACGCATGAGTTAAAAATCTGGGGTTGACGTCATCATTATATAGTTTATGTAACGTGCTATTTCTTGCATCTATACATACATATATATGTGTCTAAATATTTTAGTGTTTTTATATGAAAATGCTTCATCTTTCTACTTTTAAAAACTCTTGAAAATCTACTGTTAAAAAAATATGATTTTTATGCTTGCGACGATGGAAATTACATAATTAAGTATGCATGTTTGTAATGCGAACTTATCATTTGAATTGCCTCTTATCGATTGTGCGTATATTTCGGACATTTTCCTAGTGCTCTATATACCAAAAATATCAATATGGTTTTTGTATAAAATGATGTTGAATTACATTAACTCGAACACAATCGATTTGGAATTGTTCATGATCATTAATATTTGTACCATTGTTGAAGTACAAATGTTCACTTTTTTTTCCAGTAATAGAATCCAATAACTTTTTTTTCTTTCCATTGTGTTTCTTTACAGATTTCAATAATTACAGTGTAAGTACTTTGTTCACAAAGGTGTTTAGGTGTTTAGAAAATTGATGTTAATGCTTATTTGTTTGTCCATTTTAAGCGCAAAGCTACACCATAGACTATATGCGCTGTGCCTATTGCATGGATTGAACCCCGAGTTGTACATTTATAGGCCATCAAAATTGCCGCTAAGCCACTAAGGGTGTTAGGATGTGGCTAGACAGAAGGCGATGTGTCAACCAATAACAGAACCCGGGAGTTTTACAATCTTCTTAAAATCCGTTAAAAAGCTATATTAAGCGTGAGATAAATACAAAAGATCTCTGATGGTTAGAGCGCTCGACTCGCAATCTTAGGGTTGCGGGTTCTAATCCCCGTCCCACCAAACATGCTCGCCCTTTCAGCCGTGGGGGCGTTAAAATGCGACGGTCAATCCCACTCTTCGTTGGTAAAAGAGTAGTCCAAGAGTTGGCGATGAGTGGTGATAACTAACTGCCTTCCCTCTAGTCTTACAGTGCTGTTCGATATGTTTTTCTGTACCTAATTCATCGCCAAATTTGAAAATACAAACAGTCTAACGATTAGAAAACCCAATCAAATGCTGTTAAATTTTACAAGAAAGGGGTACGTACTAACAAAACAATGCCTTAAATGTCACGTTAGCCTTTGTATGTATTTTGTCTGAATATTTCACAAATTACTATTATAACTCATGTTACATTTCTAGTACTATTTCTTGTCGTTTTAATGCAAAACTACACGAAAATAAAAAATCTCGTCTTTCATGGTTAACATATTAAACCATTTTTCATTATCTTTACTTTATAGATATTCAACATTTAGACTTAGTTTTGGAAACTATAGTACGTTTTCGCTGTTTTCGTAAAAGTAAAACACGAGTTCCATTTTAGCTGTTATGTTATCTTTGAATTTTCGCTACCATTTATAGAGTTTGCGTTTCTTTAATGATGAAAAATACCTTTAGTTATTTGTTTCTACTTATTTCTTTCATCAAAATGTGAATTAATGGACGTATGAGTGTTCTTTTTGATAACAGAAAAGTTGACATGAACCAGTAAAGTTCATTAAAAAACATTTAGTTGAATAGAATGGTACAGGTTATATTTGCATTGAAAGATTAAGACATCTACTGGTAATAATCATAATAAGATTTACCAAAACCCAATATTTATGTCAATTGTTTATCATTTTTTATTTCCTTCAACACTCTTGTTATGTTCATTCTAGACAATTATTCCCTTCCTTGAGTTTCAAATGCTACTAATACGACAAAAAATATAAGATGCATACTTTATACCTAAATTATGAAAATTCGTACTAAGACTACTGTTTCACAATTAAATTAAAAAAAATATATATATATATGCCACAAACAACTGGTAACTGTTAAACAAAAGTGTTTAATATTTACAGAATTCTGGGAAGGGACTCTCTTATTTTGGTGAAAACGTTTAGGTGATGGAGCGAGAATGTTATTTGGGCGATTTAAAGCTATATTTATTACACTATTTAAAGAGAGGAACCATTCAACTCTAAAAATATACATGTCAAAACGTATCATTGTGATAGATGGTAAAGACCTGTTATTTTTAATCACTTGTATCTTTGTAAAAATAAGTGTTTTGTTACAGAGCTACTATTTAACTTTAGGGGAATAGTTATGTTAAGAAGCACATAGCAGACATATAGAAGGTTGAGTGTTGGAAAATAATGCTGGAACGTTAGTGAAAACACTTCATTATTGATACTTTAAGACAGAAATTATAGTAGCAATATCCCTTAAAATTTGCTTTGTGAATCTGTTTCTATTTTAACCATTAGAACAATTTTTTCCATAAAACATTTCCTTCTTAGGCTTTAAATCCAAAACATGCCATTATCTGAGGATATGTTTACCTAGAACATTTTATGAACTACTTAACCTTACACCCACATTTCTATAATGGGACATACATCAAATCAGTATAATCGTAGGAAATTTTATTTAAACAATTCGGGTTTCAAAGGAAATTCAAATTCCTGCTAATTTTTCTTTATAAAAGAATTTTTATTATTATCAATGAATAACATACATAGTGAGGTTTTGAATACTAAGTATAACGTGATCACTGTTAATATATAGCAAAAATTACATCATAGAGTAACTGTACCAGTCAGCCAAAATTACAACATTTGAACAATGTTGGGTAAAATAATATCAAAATTATAAAAAACAAATGTGTAGTACATTACATTCCCTAATTAAAATTGGTATTATATTCATATTTTTCTTGAATTAATAAGAAATAAAACAATGCATTAAAGAAAACGAAATATAAAATTGCAGTGAGGAAGTTACTCATTCCTAACTGTCATACCCTTGTCCCTCATGGTGTATGCATGTTTTAAAATTCCTTTATAGTTGTATCTGTTATAATGCAATACACTGCCTACGTTCCAATATACATAATTAACAGAACTTGATTTATTATCGCACTTTGATTAATAACCAAAATGGCATTTTGACATCACATTAGTTTGGATTGAAAATTCACGGGGATTTTATTTGATATTTGTGTCACATCTCAGCAGCTTACAGAGGAGATGCTCGTAATAATAATGGTTTTTAAAAATGAATCTACTTTCTATGACGGAAAAATGGGAAGGAAACCCATATCTCCCCAAAACAAACCACAAAAATTCATGGTGAACATGATCGAATGCCTTGCTTTGGTTGACGGAAACAAAAATTGCAGGGATAATCCTGTTATCAATGTAATGAACGGGATCATGCAGAAGTACAAGGTTCTGCTGAATACTTTGACTTATGACACTACATGTTTGGGTACTGAGAATAAGGTTGGACATAACAGCACCCATGCGCTTATATAACACACATGAAATGATTTTTGAGTCAACGTTTAGGAGAGTTATGGGCCTTCAAGAGAACAGACTATCAGCTCGTAATAGATCATTACAAATCAAGGAAATTAAACCATTCAGAGTAGCAGACGGCATACAACCATGGTTCAGGCAGTCATTGAACACCTGAACAAACTGAGGGCCAATGAAATGCCACACCGGGTGAT